AAAAACACATGAAAAGATGATCAACATCACTCATTATCAGAGAAATGCAAATCAAAACCACAATGAGGTACCATTACACGCCAGTCAGGATGGCTGCTATCCAAAAGTCTACAAGCAATAAATGCTGGAGAGGGTGTGGAGAAAAGGGAACCCGCTTACACTGTTGGTGGGAATGCAAATTAGTACAGCCGCTATGGAAAACAGTGTGGAGATTTCTTAAAAAGCTGGAAATAGAACTGCCATATGACCCAGCAATCCGACTTCTGGGCATACACACCGAGGAAACCAGATCTGAAAGAGACACGTGCACCCCAATGTTCATCGCAGCACTGTTTATAATAGCCAGGACATGGAAGCAACCTAGATGCCCATCAGCAGACGAATGGATGAGGAAGCTATGGTACATATACACTATGGAATATTACTCAGCCATTAAAAAGAATTCATTTGAATCAGTTCTAATGAGATGGATGAAACTGGAGCCCATTATACAGAGTGAAGTAAGCCAGAAAGATAAAGACCAATACAGTATACTATCACATATATATGGAATTTAGAAAGATGGTAATGATAACCCTATATGCAAAACAGAAAAAGAGACTCAGATGTATAGAACAGACTTGTGGACTCTGGGAGAAGGCGAGGGTGGGATGTTTCAAGAGAACAGCATCGAAATATGTATATTATCTATGGTGAAACAGATCACCAGCCCAGGTTGGATGCATGAGACAAGTGCTCAGGCCTGGTGCACTGGGAAGACCCAGAGGGATCGGGTGGAGAGGGAGGTGGGAGGGGGGACCAGGATGGGGAATACATGTAAATCCATGGCTAATTCATTTCAATGTATGACAAAAACCACTGCAATGTTGTAATTAGCCTCCAACTAATAAAAATAAATGGAAAAAAAAAAAAGGGTGTGCAAACATTTGTTGCTGAATGAGCAGTTATCCTTCCTTCCATAGTGTTGCAATGTTGCTTGTGCAATGACGCTCATGCAGCTCAAAGGAAAGTCTCTTGGTGTCACGTTCAAAGGATTTCCCCCTTTTGATATTCCACAACCAGGCAGGAAGCATGCCCTTGTTAACGGGCATCTTGTTTGGAGCCTGTCAGCAGCCATCGTGGGGGAAGGGTGGGGTGCTCCAGGGAGCTCATGGGAGGGAAGATTGGAGCCAAAGGACCCCCAGCGAGGGTGCAGGACCCACTCAGCCCAAGCAGGGCTTCGACGAGGATGGGAGTTCCTGTAAATGTCTCCTGTATGAAAAGAGCAGCCAGGGTTTCCCTGGGGGCTCAGTGGTAAAGAATCCGCCCGCCAGTGAAGGAGACTCAAGACTGATCTCTAGCCCGGGAAGATCCCTCATGCCGCAGAGCCACTAAGTGTGGACACCACAACTACCAAGCCTGTGCCCAGAGCCCGGAGGCCACAACTACTGTGCCTGTGAGCTGCAACTACTAAAACCCAAGCACCCTAGAGCCTGTGCTCCTCAATAAGAAAAGCCACTGTAATGAGAAGTCCGCACGCCACAACCAGAGTACCCCCACTTGGTGCAACTAGAGAAAAAGCCCTAGCATCAATGGAGACCCAGCACAGCCAAAAATAAAAAGAGCAGCCAGATTTAGCCGACAAAAACATAGGACTCCAGTTAAATGTGAATACATTTTTGGTTAAGTAAATTCCAAATTATTTATTGTTCATCTGAAATTCAAAGTAAACCAGCTGTGCAGTCAGCCCCTGGCCGTCCTCTGATACAATGCTGTGTCTGGACCCCGGACACCACACAGAGCCTCGCGTCTTTACGGGGGTCCAGGGTGATGAGAGACCAGCCCTCCAGCTCCCTAGGTAACAAATGGCCTTGTCCCCTCACGCCGGGCCCCCTCCAGGCCTCAGCCCTGCCCCTCCTTCGCCCTCTCCCCAGGTCTCCCCAGGGATCGGTCCTGTCTCAGTCCCTCCCCCGTGCTCTGAAGTCTCCCACGTGCACTCTGGGTCTAATCAGGTCAACTCCAGACTCCGGCGCTGCAAACCCCGGCTTTGCTTGCAGCCTTCTTCAGCCTCCCTGTGTGTATCCTGATATAACAGCCCTTAGGACGGTCTCTCAGGGTTGGCTGGGGATTGGCAGGGACCCAGGTGTGAATGTGGCCTCGACCTACCTGTGAGACCTTGGGAAGAGAGAAAGAGGACTTTGCTTCATAGCCAAGTGTTGCTAAGCAGTAATTCCCTGAGATTTGGTAAAGCCAGGATGAGCTTGGGTGTGAAAAGGGCTTGGTCAAAGCTGGGAGACATGGTGAGTTTGTAACCAAAGGTGGGTGTTGAAGACAAGTGAAAGGGTCCCCTCTTGGTGCATCTTCCCTCCCGTGGGCATGACTCCAGCATCTCTGGGGACTTGCAGGCCCCCTGAAACAGCTGCAGAAGGAGGAGGAAGGGACACAGAAATGAGGGCATCAGTGGAGAACATGGTTGGGACCCATGGGAAGAGGCCAGGCCCAGGGTCAGGAGTGCAGGAGGAGCCCCAGGGGTCAGAGAAGGAGCCCCCAGGAGGGAGGAGGTGAGGCCCCATCAGCAACGCTGAGAGGGAAACAGGCCCGGCCTGGGTCTGGGCTGTAAAGACTCTGCTGCCAAGGCCCCAGATGCCACTTGTCACCCACGTCTTCCCTGGCACCTGGCTGCATGTGGTGTGAGCCAGGGCGAGCTGGAGGGCTGATGGTTTATTGTAAATTGAGTGATTTATTAAATGGATGATCTCTCCCCCTTTTTTAAATAGTGACATCATTGGTTGAAGAATAACTATGTCAACATCGTCCTAAGTACTTGATGTTTAACTGCCCAACGGCCCTCAGTTCAGTTCAGTTCAGTTCAGTCGCTCAGTCATGTCTGACTCTCTGCAACCCCATGAATCGCAGCACACCAGGCCTCCCTGTCCATCACCAACTCCTGGAGTTTACTCAAACTCATGTCCATCGAGTAGGTGACACCATCCAGCCATCTCATCCTCTGTCGTCCCCTTCTCCTCCTGCCCCCAATCCCTCCCAGCATCAGGGTCTTTTCCAATGAGTCAACTCTTCTCATGAGGTGGCCAAAGTATTGGAGTTTCAGCTTCAGCATCAGTCCTTCCAGTGAACATCCAGGACTGATCTCCTTTAGGATGGACTGGTTGGATCTCCTTGCAGTCCACGGGACTCTCAAGAGTCTTCTCCAACACCACAGTTCAAAAGCATCAATTCTTCGGCACTCAGCTTTCTTTATAGTCCAACTCTCATATCCATACATGACCACTGGAAAAACCATAGCCTTGACTAGACGGACCTTTGTTGGCAAAGAAATGTCTCTGCTTTTTAATATGATATCTAGGTTGTCAGTCACTATTATTCTCCGTATATTACAGATGAGGAGCTCAAGAGCCAATTGTTCCCCCTGTGGCCCAAACTGGGTCAAGTGAAACGCCAACAGAGTTTTTCCCACTGGCCACCTCTCACGGTAAGACACTGCTAGTGTCCATTAAAAGAACATATGGGCTCTGAAGTTCTGGGGTTTGTCCTATCTTCTTTCTTCCCCTCTGGAATGAGGTGTGATGTCTGGAGTTAGGCAGCCATTCGAGACCCTGAGGAGGCAAATACTGAGAGCTGAGCTGAGGGAACAGCAATAGTGGGCCATGTCTCGACAGCATCACTGAGCCGCCAAGCCAGGCCTGGACCAATCTACCTGGCCCACATGGTTTATTTTATGAAATGAACCATACTTCCAGCCTTTCCAGACAGCTCTGACCCTGTCCACCCTCCTTCATCCCAGCATCCTTTCCTTAGGCCCCTTGTCTTCCCCTTGTTGGGTCTCAGCCCTGCTCCTCTCCTCTCCTTACCTCTTCCCTCCCCCCTCCCTCCCAGGATACCTTCTTCTACCTGTCCTTCCTTCCCTCATGTGCACCAACCCTCCCTGATTTAGTCCCTTCCTCCCTTCTCAACCATCATCATCACCTGTCCCTCATTTTCTATTGCTTCAGGTCTCACACCAAATGGTTCTGCTCCCAGCTTCTTAGAGTCACATGTTTGTGTGAGGTTGTGACACAGTTTGGGCCCCTTTGTGTGAGGCTGAGACACATTTGGGGCCCTTGACACAGGATCAGAAGTCTGAGAGGAGAGACCTGGGGAGACTTTGCTGTCTGGACGCCTTGTGCAAGGCTGGCTCAGCTCAATTCAGTCCCCACGGAGTGAATGGCAGGAGAGAAATCTAGTGCCTGAGACCAGTCCTGCTTGGGTCCATGTACTGTGCAGCAGCCAGTTCATCCTCTGTGCACAACAGCCCCTCCCTCTGGCTTCCTCTCCAGGGCAGTAGTGTGGGGACTGGGGTAATTCCTGGAGTTATCTAGCTGGAGATTTGAAAGTTCCCTTTCAATATTGAGACTCATTCTTTCTCTTCTCTTATCACATGGTCTGTCATTTCAAAACCAGTAGTGTTAGCAGTGTGATAGGTTGTTGAGGGCTGCAGGTTTTTGAATCCTAGGCTTCCCTCCTACAAGGTTTAGCTGATTTTTACTCATACCAGCAGGCACTGGTGTGACCACTATACCTCCACCCCACCATGAATCAGATCCACTACAAAATAAAAAGACATCTGCATCTTTGCAACTTTTAATAAACTATTTATAGTTCATGATACATTTACTAAGGGAAAAAATCGAATGAGAGATTCTTATTATTTCATTTTATTGCTTTGCATTTAAAATCAATTACAATACTCATTTATCTAAAAATCGGAAACTATTCTGATAGTATTGAATAGAATCTTACTGATGTAGATTTGAAACACTACATAGGTTTGAATGAAAAGTAAATCTACTCAGATTTTTTATTTTAAAAAAGCTATTTCTTTTGAGCCATTTGCTTTTTGCTGGTCTGTTTGGATCAGTCTGGAGACAGTAGCAAATGGCATGTTTATATTTCTTAAAAGAAGGTGTTTTGTTCTGTTGTTCAATAGAGGTCTCCTGTTCTTTAGAGAGGCTGGCGTCCATCCTTCAGTTTTGCTGAGTCTAGGACGAAGCAGGGAATGAGAACGTTGGAAGAGGAAACACAGAGAGGTCTGGGGAGTGTCACACAGATGGGGAAGGAGGGAAGGACACAAGCCTGTGAGGAAGTAGAGGGACCCCTGGGGAAAGGAAAGAAGGGATGGAGCCGGTGTCCCCAGGAGGGAGCAGATCACCCCGGAGGAGGCTCTAAAAAGAGGGAAGAGGCCCAGGCAGGGACTCCCCTGGTGGTTTAAGAAACTGCCTTCCAAGGCAGGGGACACGGGTTCCACCCCTGGTCTGGGAATGAAGATCCCACGGGCCTCAGGGCAGTTAAGTGCCCACCACAACCAGAGAAGTGCACAGCCCACCCTGGAGCCCTTGCTTAGCAACAAGAGATGCCTGTGCCCGCCCGCCCCCCCCCACCCCGAAACTAGAGAGAAGCCCCTGCATGCTGCAATGAAGACCTTGAGTGGCCCAGACACAGATAAAGGCCCAGGGAGAGAAGAGGAGAGGAGGGGGGAGGTCCAGGGAAGCAGCCGGGAGGAAACCTCACCCTGAGAATGTCCCGCAGTTTCTCACAGAGCTCTTGGCTCTTTGCTTCCAGCCCCTCCCAGGGCTGAAAGGGATTTCCCTGGTGGTCCACAAAGGTTTCCCAGCAGTGCTTAAAGTCTGAAATGGAGCCGGGGAGAGAAAGGTGAGCTCCAGTCTAGGGGTGGACTTCCCCATTATCATTTCGCTGCCTCCACTCTCTTTTCCTTTCAAGGACTTAGCTTACCCCTCAAATTCTTTCTTCTTTAAAATTTTTTTTCATGTTATTTTTAATTGAAGGGTAATTGCTTTACAATGTTGTGATGGTTTCTGCCATACACCAACATGAATCAGCCATAGGTATACACGTGTCCCCTCCCTCTGGACCTTTCCTCCCATCTCCCTCCCCAACCCCACCCTCCTCAGTTGGCACGGAGTCCTGGCTTTGGGTCCCTTGCGTCACATAGCAAATTCCCAGTGGCTATCTATTTTCCATATGGTAATGTACGTGTTTCAGTGCTACTCTGTCAAATCATTCCACCCTCTTCTTTCTCCTCTGTGTTCAAAATTCTGTCCTTTATGTCTGCGTCTCCTTTGCTGCCGTGCGAACGGGTTCATCAGTACCATCTTTCCAGATTCCATATATATGTGTTAATGTATAATACTTGTCTGTCTCTTTCTGACTTACTTCGCTCTGTATAATAGGTTCTAGAACTGAGTCAGCGTGTTCCTTTTTTCACCTGAGGAAAATAAGGAACGCTTCATGAGTTTGTGTGTAATCCTTGCCCAGGGGCCATGCTAATCTTCTCTGCACCGTTCCAGCGTTTGCATATGTGCAGCTGAAGCAAGCCCTCAGGTTCTTTCTTGCTACTGGAATCTGAGCCAGCCCGTTCCCCTTCTTTCTGGAAACCCGCTAGTCCACGCACATTCACCCACCCACCGGCCCCTCCGGAACCTCTGCCCCTCTGAACTCTCTCTTCCCACAGGCGCTTTCCAGAGTCTAGCCTCCCTTCTCAGGCAGCACACAAAGGCCTCTGTACCAGGGATTCCCACCCTGCCCACCTCTTTCTGGCAACTTCCCACAGGTCTCTCCCTGCCACTGCCCCACCCCCAGGAGACCCCTGCCGACCCTGAGAGGTCATGATGGTGATTTGGGCCTTAGCATCTTGCAGTTCGCACAGGCCTCTCTGATAGTTCCCAAAACGGTTCCTGGTATAGAGGCGGGAGGCAAAGATGCGCAGGCTTATGTGGTCGTTCTCCTTCAGGAACGTAGTCAGGTTGTGGGCACAAGAGTAACAGGGACTCCAGGAGATGAAACAGGTGAGCCTGTAGTGCTGATTCTTGTCCAGATTCCTAGAACGGATCTGATCCAGGAAGTAGAACTCCGCATGGTGGGGTCCGTCTGGTTGATAAGGACCCTACGAAAAAGAGGAAGACACGCGTCCTGTCCTTTGCTGTGTACGGGCTAGCACGGAGGGAACGACCATGGAAGGAAGGCGGATGAGGCGCTGGCCCCCAGCACGAAGTCAGAGTGGGGGCAAGCCTCAGCACACAGTGAAATGCTATTTCAGTGCAGGATTTACACGATCAAAGGAATGCCAAACCCCTTGAGAGACACTGTATCTCTATGGCTCTGCAAAGCTCTGAAACTGATCAGTCTTCAGGCAGATGTTGCTGTTTCCTGCATCACAGAATTGCGTTAATTTTGATTTTTAAACTAGTGAGTTTAAGCATGACTCATCTTGATTTCTGAGTTTGCTGGAGTCCGTCTTATCTTGTGCCCGTGATAGGGCCTAGTCCAGCCGTGCCGGGAGGGAGGAGGCCAGGGGAGCTCCGACACTGGCCTCTTGCCATGGAAGTGGGCATTTCCTCCCTGGAGGGATTCACTCTGCTCTCCAGCTCCTCCACGACCCTACCCCCACTAAACCCACGTGTGTGCCCAAACTTCTACAAGTTTCTGCTCTGGGCATCACCCTGTGCTGGGCCCAGCGCAGCCCTGGGCTACATACAGCTGGCAGCGGCGGGGCTGTGGCGATCAGTACCCTTGCCAGAATCTCTCAAGCAGTGGGCGGATGTCTCGCCTGGCCACCCAAGCCTGTGGTGATTGAGAGAGGATCGGGCTCTCTGGCAAGAGCCTGCCCTGGGCAGAGTCCAGGGAAGAACCCAGCCCCTTGTCCACTTGCATCGCCCTCCATCCCAACTCCTCCCCAGAGGCGGAGCAGGAGAGGAGTAACCAAGACACTGGACTGGAGGTGCCAGGCGCTGGGTGGTTGTGACTGGCTTCTGAAATGTGGCTCAAAGCTGTCAATCACACAGAAAGGGTCCCCACGTGATTCCTGGCAGAGAGCTTGTGGGACACCCCGTGTGCCACTGACAACCTTCTACCCTGGGTGTCCCACCACGGGGAGGGCCCGCCTGCTGCGGGCGGGCTGGGTGGGTCACCTTGTTGCACACAAATCTCTTGTACTCATCCAGAGGGATCACAGTGTCCCCATCCAGCCTCTCCACCTCGTAGCACAGGTAGGTCTTGGAAGGGCATTCTTGATTGTTGAAGTTCTCAATGAAGGTGTATCTGTCCATCAGGTGTCTGAGGACAAAGGTGGGAGAAGTCACAAGACACGGGGCTCCTCTGGGACTGCCCAGGGCTCCCCTCCCTGCCACACCCTTCCTCCTGCACCCCACATCTCTGCTGGAGCCACTAGACCTCCCTCTCTGACCCCCGCTGGGGGCTCCTGGGGAAGTCAGGGTCTCCCCGCAGGAGCAGTGCAGGGTGCTCAGAGCCCCGATGATGACCCAATCCTCCACCTGGAGTCTGACTGGACATGGCCTCTCAGTGCCACTCTGCCCCCATCCTGGGTCCCCTGTTGTATGGTATCCGGCCCTGCTCTGCTGGGCCCCATGAATCTTCTTTACCGTCCCTGGCTCCGAGTCCTCTGATTCTATGCTCAGTCACAGCCTGTGGCCTCCTCCTTGAAGGTGTTCAAGCGGCAGGAGCCTTATATGTCATCAGAGCGCCTGGAAGCTGTTGTGTCAGCAGAGTTGGGCCTCACCCTTTCCTGAACTCGGGCCACTCATGCCACCCATGAACTTCCCCACCCAGATGTCACACCTTCGTGGACAGCTTCGGTTTCCATTTCCCCGTTCTGACAAAGGCCCTGCCTGGATGCCACCAGGACTGACCATGGACCAGTGCGGTCTGGGAGGGTGTGTGGGAGGTCATCTGCGAAGCAGCGGCCAATCAGGCAGGCAGTGAGGGGACACTTCTGAGTAGGAGATGGCATCTGTATGAGGACCTGGGTCACAGAGACTAGGCTGGGTCCCTGAGACTCTGCCCACCACTGTGGCCCAGTTCTTGCCTTCCAGGGACGGAAGATGTGGTCCTGATTCAAACCAAGCCCTGCTTCGCATCTCCAGTGTCTCCTCCCATCACCCAACCCACTGAGTGCTCCTGGTTCCCCCACCTTCACCCCCAGGTTTCTGACGGAGGGTCTCTGGTGCCTGAAAGCTGGTGCTGGGGGCAGAGGATGGCCTGAAGAGTCTGGGGCTCCTGTTGCTAAGCCCCTGTGCCCTGGAGGACCCTCAGAGGACTGAGCCCCCAAATCTGCCCCACCCCTTCCCAGGTGGCTCCAGCAGCCAGAGTGCTAGGATCTCTCTGAGCTCAGCCCGGCATCAATTGCCCCTCAAGGCTGGGCAGGAGCGTCTTGTGGGCAGACCAAGGCAGGGCTCCATTGCAGGGAGGGCACCCGGCTCCCGCATCCCCAGGGGAGGTCTCCCGGCCAGTGTAGATCCTCATCCAGTAGCTCTGAGGTCTCTTCTAGAATGTTCTCCAACACCGCCTCCTTCCTCACCCTCCATACCCCAGCCTAGCCAGGCACCCCTGGACCTTCTGTTCCGTGCTAAGGCCTGGCTGCCCCTCTCCAATGCAGACAAGCCAACCTAGCTTGTTTCCACATCTGGGGGGCGGGGGGAGAGGGGTCCATGTGCCAGTGACCGACCATCACACAGCGCAGGCAGCTAAGAGAATCCATCTTTGGTGAAGTTTGGAGGGATATCAGAGGTGGCAGTGTTCGACCTTCTTGCCAGTGTTTTCAGTCTTGAGTCACCCGAGTCACAGAGAGAAGAGGTAAGAGGATGAGGAGCTATCAACTCAGATCTGGGTGGGCCTCACCCCTCTCTTCTCCCGCTGCGCCCGCCAGCACCCTCCCACATGCTCTCCCTGGAGCCCAAGGCCCTTGGGGCAGCAGGAGCCCCGGGACCAGCACACCCCCACGCCATCTCCCTGAGGCCAGGGAGATGCTGGTTTGGTAAAGGCCTTAGTAGAACCTAGTGATGAACATCCGGACCCTAAATAGAGCCTGACACCACTGATGTGATGATGAGATGAAAGTGTGCAGCTCACCTCCATGAGGTGAGAAGAGGGAAGAAAAGACGTCCTGCCCTTTATGGGGCACAACAGCCCCTCCTCTATGTCTGCCTCCACCACATAGAGTGAAAATGTGGGAACATTCCCCCACACTGCTGGAGATCTCCACCCAAGTGTGGGGAGATCCCAGAAGGTAAGGCAGGACCTCGGTCCCGCTGGAGAGGGGTGGGTGCGTGCAAGGAGTGTAAGCTCCCTGGCAGGCGAAGGTTTTGTCCGGTTCCACCAACAGGAAAACTGGAAACAGAGCCAGATGCCCTGGGGGAGCCCAGATTGAGGCCAGAGAGACAGACTGGGCCAAAGGACCCCAAGGAGAGGGCAGGGTGGCTCAGCCCGAGTGCCTTGGGACTGGGATGGATGACCCTGGCAGTGCCAGCCAGGCTGCCCTGTGAAAGTTCCCAGCTCTGGCCTCCTGTGGGTGCCCTCCACTCCCTGGAGCAGGAGGGAGGACGGCTGCCTGTGCCCGGGTCTCAGCAGGGTTCTCAGACACCTCCGGGGTCCCTGTGTCGTGGGCGAAACCCTGAGACCAGAGCCTGGGGAGACGGGCCCCTGGAGTGGGGGCCCTGGGGAGGTGGGGGAGGGTCTGTCTGGAACCCTCCCTTTGACAGCACAGGGTGGGGGCCCTTCTCCCAGTGTCAGCCCACCTGTGCACCTGGGTTGCCCCCTTTGCCCCGAGGGACTACACCTCTGGATCTGGGGGTCATTTCCAAGAATGGAGGGGGCGGCTGTTGTCAGAGCCCAGGAGCCAAAACCAAAACTGACAAGGAGTTTCGTCTGCCAACCACCCTTGGGCAGTGTCGAAATTCTCTGATCTTAGTCAGTGCTGGGAAAACCAGACACTGTTTCCCTTTTGTCAAGTCACTCTGTGTGTCTTTAGGTTTTCCTTTTGGGTCAGGGCCGTGGCTGGGCTGTTTGCTCAGGCACAGTTGTGTACCAGGCCTGATCTTTATCATATACGCAGTTCCTGGGGTCCCACAGCACACCTTAAGGTGGGCCCTTCAGCTGTAGTCGAGCAAACTGGCTACACATCCCCAATGGCTCAGATGGTAAAGCATCTGCGTGCAGTACAGGAGACGCAGGTTCGATCCCTGGGTCAGGAAGATCCCCTGGAGAAGCAAATGGCAGCCCACTCCAGTATCCTTGCCTGGAAAATTCCCATGGACAGAGGAGCCTGGCGGGCTACAGTCCATGGGGTTGCAAAGAGTCGGACACAACTGACCGACTTTACTTCCAGGCAGGAAGCAATGCAGAAGGCCCCGGGGCAGGCCCCTGAGCCAGACCAGACACTCTGGGCCCAGCACTGTGGTCCGTCTGCTCCCTGAGCCTTCTGCTCCAGGACTCTCCCCGGGGAGGGGTCAGGGGGAGGACTCTGCCTCTCGATGGCTGCTCCTCTTCCTCGGCCCCTCTCTCTGGGCACAGCCTTGGACACCTGCCCCTTCCCCAGCTCCTTCCCCAGGAACTGGCCCTGTCCTGGGTCTCAGCCCAAGCCCTCTGCTGAGGTCCCCTGTGCACCCCCCGCATGCAGTATAAGCCAGAGTGTAGGAGTTCGGGTGGATTATTTGTGGTTTGTCTGATATATTGGAGGAGGGTGCTCTCCACCTGTTTAAAAAAAAAAAAATCAACATAACATCAACAATATTACACAGTCCTAATGTGTCCATTCACATGGTCATCTAACTGTCACAGTAGCCCCCATGGTGGGTCACTGTCCATGTCTCTATGTTTCAGGGAAGGATCTCAAGGGCTGGAGGTGAAGTCCTGTCCAAGGTCCCTGAGCATGAAGGGGGCCAGACCCAGAGTCAAGTTCTTCTGACTCTGAAGCATCCCCCATAGAAAGCTGATGTAGCTGCTCAGACACCGAGGGAGTGGGAGGAGGGGACCCTGGGAAGGAGGGTCTTCCCAGGGGTCTGGGGGCGGGGGCCACAGGTGAGGGGTGTGTCCAGAGCAGGACCAGACCTAGCAAGAAGTACCAGGCTGGGGGCCAGTGCTGAGGATGCCCAGAGGGAGAGGCAGGCAGGCTGGCGGGCCTCAGTGAGGGAGGAGGACAAGTGGGGTCTCAGAATGAAGGTTCAGTCGTGTCCAACTCTTTTCGACCCCCGTGGCCTGCAGCAACCAGTCCTCCTGCCCTTCACCATCTCCTGGAGTTGGCTCAGACTCATGTGCTTTGAGTTGGTGATGGCATCCAACCATCTCATCCTCTGTCTTCCCTTTCTCCTCCCGCCTTCAATATTTCCCAGCATGAGGGTCCTTTCCAGTGAGGAGGCTCTTGACATCAGGTGGCCAAAGTATTGGAGCTTCAGCTTCAGCATCAGTCCTTCCAATGAATATTCAGGGTTGGTTTCCTTTAGGATTGACTGGTTTGGTCTCCTTGTTGTCCGCGGGACTCTCACGAGCCTTCTCCAGCATCAATTTTTCAGTGCTCAACCTTCTTTATGGTCCAACTCTCACAACCATACATGACTCCTGGAAAAACCATAGCTTTAACTGTATGTGCCTTTGTTGGTAAAGTGTGGTCTCCACTGTTTAATACACTGTCTAGGTTCGTCATAGTTTTTCTTACAGGTAGCAAGCATCTTTTTATTTCATGGTGACAGTCAGCATCTACAGTGATTTTGGAGCTCCCCCCAAATAAAATCTGTCACTGTTTCCCCTTTTATTTGCCATGAAGTTATGGGACCGCATGCCATGGTCTTAGTTTTCTGTATGTTAAGTGTTAAGCCACCTTTTTCACTCTCTTCTTTCACTTTCTTCAGGAAGCTCTTCAGTTCCTCTTTACCTTCTGCCATTAGGGTGGTGTCATTTGCATACCTGAGGTTTGTGATTCTCCCAGCCTGGCATTTCACATGATATACTCTGCATATAGGTTAAATAAGGAGGGTGACAGTGTGTAGCCTTGAAGTACTCTTTTCCTAATTTTGAACCAGTATGTTGTTTCATGTCAGGTTCTAACTGTTGTTTCTTGACCCACCTACAGGTTTCTCAGGAGACAAGTAAGGTGGCCTGGTATTCCCATCTCTTTAAGAATTTTCCACAATTTGTTGTGATCCACGCAGTCAAAGTCTTTAGCACAGTCAGTGAAGTGGAAGCAGATATTTTTCTGGAATTCCCTTGCTTTCTCCATGATCCAACAAAACGTTGGCAATTTGACCTCTGGTTCCTCTGCTTTTTCTAAACCCAGCTTGAACATCTGGAAGTTCTTGGTTCATGTACTGCTGAAGCCTAGCTTGAAGAATTTTGAGCATAACCTTATTAGCATGTGAAATGAGCGCAATTGTCCAGAGTTTGAACATTCTTTGGCACTGCCCTTCTTTGGGATTGTAATGAAAATTGACCTTTTCCAGTCCTGTGGCCACTGCTCTGTTTTCCAAATTTGCTGTCATACTGAGTGCAGAACTTTAACAACATCATCTTTTTAGGGTTTTAAATAATTCAGCTGGAATTCCATCACTTCCATTAGCTTTGTTTTTAGTAATACTTCCT